AAAAAATTATTTGGCAATTTTTTTTTGGAAATAATTTTCCGGTATTAATTTTTTTGGGAAAAAATAACTTTTTTAGGGAAATAATAACTTATCCAGTAACATTTGATTGTAATTCTTTCTTCTTTTATTGCGGAAAATAATAATTGTTGATAACTGTAAATATTATAATAGTCAAAAAAATATTAATGCGAACTAAATCTAATTAGCTGCCAAAATTTCCTCAATCCATTAAATTATTTATAATGAAATATTTTGAGCAATGCTTCGCAAATATTTTACAATATCAATACCTCCGTACTTTTCAACAAGTTGATTTTTTATGTAAAAAATGGATTCTATTTTTTTCTGACATTTTTTCCAAGGAAGTAAAAAAAAGGAATTAAATTCTGGGAAAAAAAATTTCCCAAGTAATGTTTACGAAATAAAAAATTTCCAATTAATTTTTTCCGGAAAAAAATAATTCCGGGAAATTTTTTCCAGAAGTTTTTTTCCTTAGGGAATAAGTGCGGGAACCCATTCCGAGTCTCTTTTCGTCACCAACAACTAATGAGGGTTAACATCCGGTTAATAAAATATCTGATTAAGAATTATGGCTTAACGCCGAAGTAGGTCAAAATTACGTTTAAATCAACCTCCCTGCGCGCTAGTTTGCATGTACGGGCCCCTGGCGACAGTTAGACGGCGCACCAGTCGCACCCACCGGCGATGAACATCCGTCCGTCAAACGAGAGTTAGTCGAAAAACTACTGTGGAGAAGACCCCATCAAGACGAGGGACAGGATCCAGAGTGTTGGTGAGGGATCATCGCCGAGGCCCAATACGAAGAGAAATGGTAAGTCTACATCCTTTTACCATGTGCATTCTCTCCCGAGGAGAGAAGTGCATTTTTCCATAGTGTGCCCCCTGAATAATCGCCTGGGAAGATTGCACTGGTCTTCAGATATGACTAAAGCCAAGATGCATTCCCTGCCACCAAACACTCCCCTGGATAAGCTGATAAGTGCACGAACTGAGTGCATAAACCTCTCGTCTAGATCCCTGCTCCTCTCCCGAGAGATGACACTCCCAGTGAGCCCATTGTCAGAGTGAAGACGAAGTCCAGAACCCACAGGAGAGGATGCACGTACTTTACGCCCTGTCATGGAGTCATCGTGCCTCTTGGGCCACAAAGCGAACTTTCTTGGACCACCAGTGTACCACACACTGAGAAAAAAAATTACTTTTGCAAAGGAATCCTTTTCTTGGGAGAAGAATTTATTTTTTGCGGAGCGTATTTCTCCAGGCCAGTCATTATCAAGGAGTCCAAATCCATCTCTAAATATTACAATTATGTTCAATTATGGAATGATTATATTACATATGACCTTGAATGAACTCCATTGACAATTATTAACCTTTAAAATTATTTCAAACTATTATACGTTAGAAAACCTCGAATTTGAAAAGATTGAAAAATAATGAAGCGGGTTCATTCAAGGTCATATGTAGCAATATCATCTCATTATTCAACATAATTGTAATGGTTGAAGATGGACATGGACCACCTGGGAATGACTGGCCTAGAGAAATAAGCTCCTAAAAAAATAAATTCTTCTCCTAAGAAAATGATTACTTGGCAAAAGTAATTTTTTTTCCCAATGCAGGAGAGCATAATTCGTCCACAATGATTTTCGGAACATGTGGGAAATTTTCTGTATTATCTCCAGTGGGAAAACAGGAATAAAACGTGTGTAAAAGTGTACACATGCTCTCCACTTTTTGTGGGTGAAGCTGTAGTGCACCCGTTGGGTTAAATCGTCACTCGAGCGAATTGAGGCCTCAATAGAGTGCTCTTCTAGCTCAGTATGATCTCCCATTGTTTTATTCATTTACATTAGGGTTTTCTCGTACGACGAGACCCCGAAAATCGCGGTAGTGAGGCTCGTGAGCTCCAGGAATTTCCCGTGATGCCACGAAGCTCTCAATTGGGAATGGATACGTCCATGGGGCAAGATGTTACTTTTGCGTGGGACTCTTGTTCCCCGCGTCCTTACCATCAAATGGCTTTTCATCTCAGTCAACTAATTCACCGTCATACTATCAGGTAGGAGTGTTATTTGCCTGCAGATCCTCCGGCACTTCAGATTCGGTATGATGCGGAGCGATCGTCGGCATGAATTCTCCAAAACCAAACATTCCCCTTCGCGCAAATCTCTCTCGTAATAATTACTCGACTACTCTTACTGTCGATAGATAATTTTTGTTAAATGGAAATTAGAGTTTTGAGATTGTATTTGAACCATGTGGGTAAATTGAATGCCAGATATTTTTCCCATTTAATTAAAGTCTCTCCATCTCTTGAATTCCCCGATTTTCTAGAGAATTGAGGGAATTTTAGTTCGATTCTTTCTGATTGGATTTCTCATTGTTTCGTTATATTTGCGACCCCTTTCCTAAGACCGAGCGACCGAAACCACCCCGCTCTCCGAATTTTCTCCCGAGTTAGACATAATTCAGTTAGCTAGACAACCTCTCTGTCTGATTTTTCCCAACCTCCAGTTATATATATTTTTTTGGCTTGTTCTCATTTCGTTCACTATGGCTACGGTTGCGGTTTGGTTGATTCTGCGTTGTTAAAAATCGACTGGCGCCCAACGACAGTTTCTCACAAGAGTAGCTGGCAGTTTTACGGTTTTGGTTTTGGAGGATTTTGGGGAAGTTGGAGCGGAAGAGGCCGAAGGTGACAAACTCCGGCTGTCTTCATTCAAGAATTTTCGTTAAGAACGGAGGACTTTCGACTTTGGTTGGTTCATTTGGAAATCGTCGTCACAGACTAATCTATAATATTCAAATTTAATTCCTGATTAGATGAGCACTTATGTTTTTTTAATGTTTACCCAATAATAAAGTATTTAAAATATGTGGATTTCACAATACACATTTATAATGCAATGTGTCCACGTTATATAATATTATATTATGAATGAGCATTAAATTATAAATAAAATATTTCCACATTATTAGTGATTGAGTAAAAAAAAAGTATTTGCGGTACAAATATTGGTGAAAAGAATATGTTCGCCGATCTCTGATCCAGTGTAGAGCTCGAGTCATTTTTGGGAGTGTATAGAATTATTAAACATTGCATCAACCAGATTGTCCTTTGGGATAATTTTTGCAGTTTTTGATGGTTCGTCGGCTGTAGTTGAAATTTTCAAGTATTTCTGGGAGGCTTTGGAGGAGTCTTGAGAGATTTTGGAGAGCCTCTCGAGAGCCTGGAAGGGACTTGGAAACCTATGCAGCCTGGAAAAGATCGTAGAGGCTGGTGAGATGCAGGATTCTTAACTGACGATTTGAACCGAGTAGTTGAACAGATTATTCTTTTTTGAATTACGGTTTTCTCGAGCTCGTGCCTTTGTGGCAGGCTTTCCAGATATTTTCTTGGACGATTCAATTTATATTTTGACTTATCTCGGCGAGTTATGATCACCAAGATTTATTTGACATTATAAAATTTATTTGAGAGATCCGACTGAAATGAGGAAATAATTTAGCCTCTCCTACCATCGATGGTGGGTGTAAATTGGGTTTTCTCTAAATTAGGAAAAATTGATTAGTGTTCCATACCGTGACTGAAACGTTCGATGATTCGCGTTTTCATCCCGTATTGCTAGGTGGAAATATTTCTCCATGCAATATCCGTAAAACAATCTTGTTATAATAGATCTAGGAGTCACTCAACGTTCTTTTGCCACTGAGATTTACTTATTAGTAATCCTAAGAATCTGAAGCAGTGGGTTTTGATCCCCCTCACCCTCATAACCAGGAGTTCAGGTGATTATCAAGAGCCGAAAGTCACTGAGATTTCGAAGATTGTCTATGGCCTCGACAATCACAGTTCTGAAAAAAAAAAAAACACTGGCATCCAAAATTGCTGTTGGACTCATATGATTCAATGCTGTTAATGCCCCTAATGAATATTTTTCAATCATTTCCTAATAGGAGAATTCGTCACAAGATTTCCGTCGAAATTGTTTTCAATGCTCCGAAGAGAGGGACAGATTTAAAAAAGAAAAAAAAATAGCTCGACATTGATGTTTAAAGTTTAATTTCTCTATTTTATTCAGGGAAATAAAATTTAGAGAAAAAATAACCATTATTCTCGGAAAATTCGAAAAATAAATGATTCCAAATGATGTTCCCAAATTATGAGGTGGATACGTCTATGTTCTGATTACGGCGGGTCGTTATGGAAAAAGTCCTTATGGTTCCTTATCTACAGTGGTACCATTTATCGGAATTCTAGAACATTCTATTTTGAGGGACCCTTAGCGCTGCTCGGCAAAATACCGAAAGTTGATTATTATTACACGAAATAAATAAAATTTATGGATCCGTGTTAAAATTCGCATGGGTGTTTGTATATAACGATTTCGTTGTGGATTAAATATGTTGAATATTTGTTTAGGGATTTTGGTTGTACATAACAATTCAATCGTATCGTGATTATAAGAGACGTCTTATCATGATGAGCCGGTGCAAAATCCCGAATTCTTCTAATATCCCTGTATAAATAAATACAAGGAAACACTATGAAGTACAGTGAAGGAAAAAGGAGACCATAGACGTATCCGCGTAAAATTACGGCTGTAGCAAAGATACAGACACCCACAGATGTTTATTTCATAGGCTTTTCGAATGTCGTTCTATTAAATACGAAATTTTTCCAATCGTGCAATTAAACGAATTCAATTATTCGATTCTTCGTTGTGAGAGTTCGAGCGCCTTTTAAAATGAAGAATTTTTTTTTATCCACATTCCAAATAACAAAATACAAATTCCGAAAATTTTAGCCCATCTATTTCTCGAGGAAGAAACCCGCGTTCGACCGTTTTCTTTCAGATGATATTTCGTCATATTTCATGATTTTCTACAATAGCTTCACGTGGATTATTTTCCAATCTTGTTTAAAGATCTTTGATGAGTTGCTGCTGGATGCTGATTGGTCGGTTAACGCTGGCATGTGGATGTGGCTATCTTGCAGTTCATTTTTCCAACAATTTTTCCATTGTTACTGTCCAGTAAAATTTGGTAGGAAAGCGGACCCCAATGGAGATTATATCAGGTAAGTGCAATTAGTTTCCAATCTTCAATAATTCTCCGTAGTTTGACAGAACGCACTACTTAGTTTCAAACCTTCTGCAATCATAAAAGAACTTCATAGCCTTCGATGTAATAGAAGTTATCGCCATATGAAATCGACATATCTACAACATATTTGAAATAATAAAAATATGCTGTGTGCAAAGTATCGGTAATTCCATGACCAATTCCACGATTTTTTATTCATGTATTAATTTTCGGCCCCTAGATTAAGTTGATTAAAACACCTATTTAAATTTAAAAAAATTCCCGCAATAAAAGGCATTTGAAACGCCATTTATGAGCTATCAAACCACTCAAGTCGGATTGTTGTCCGATTAACACAACCTTAAAAAACATAGTAAATAAAAATGTCGTTCGACAAGCAGCACTTGAGGCACTCTCTCTTTTTTACCTTCCAACTTGGAAAAACTACTGCAGAAGCACAAGAAATGATTTCTTTGGCCTTGGGAGAGAGTGCTGTATCTTATAGCATATGTAAAAAGTGGTTCAAAAAATTTCGGGATGGAAATTTTGAACTCCAGGATGAAGAACGTCCTGGGCAACAAAAAAAAAGTTGAGGACGAGGAGTTGGACAACCTACTCAATGAAAATCCCTGTCAAACACAACAGGAGCTTGCTGATACTCTCAGAGTGACTCAATTAGCTATTTCGAGACGTTTAAAAAGAATTGGGAGCATTCAGAAGGAAGGTCGTTAGGTGCCCCATCATCTTACCTCAGAAAACAAAAGTCGACGCTGTGAAATTGCCATGTGCCTACTGATCAGATTCAAACAAAAAGCCATACATATTCATATTTTATATAAAATTGTGACTGGGGATGAAAAGTGGATATTTTACGACAATCTTAAGAGGCGAAAGTCGTGGGTTTATTTGGGGGAGTCGTCAACGAGTACTGCAAAACCGAACTCTTACAAGAAAAAATTGTTGTTGTGTATTTGGTGGTATTCAAAAGGTGTAATCTATTATGAGATACTCGAACGGGGGGAGACCGTCAGTGCTAACCGTTATCAGTACCAACTGGTGAAATTGAGTCATGCTATTGAAGAAAAGAGACCTTTTACTGGTAGTGGTACGAGGCAAGTAATTTTGCTGCAGGACAACGCGGCTACACACAGCAAAAGAAACACTGAAATTGATCTTCACTTTGGGCTGGGAAATTCTCCCACATGGGGCGTATTCTCCAGACCTTACACCTTCTGACTATCACTTTTTTCGGATGCTACAACATCACCTGGTGGATACGAAGTTCCAATCTCCTGAAGAAGTCGGGCAGAGCATTGATGATTTCATTCAGTTAAAATCACCATCTTTGTTCCGAGCCAGAATCCAACAATTTCCCGATAGATCGGAGAAATGCGTGCAAAGTGACGGCGATTATTTTCGAGACTAGGGAAAGGGCGCGCGTGTAATGTAGGGCTCTCAAGTTGAGGTAATATATATATATATAAATTTTATATATATATATAAAAAATTCTAAGAGAATTAGAATTTAGAGAGAAAAAATTTCCGCTTCACCCAGCCGGGAATCGAACCCGGGTCTCCCAGATACGCGCCGGGCACTCTTACCGACTAAGGTACCGGGAAATATATATATATATATATGCACAGCGTACATATACGCCTCCATATACACTACATGTGGCTATCCTACTCGCCTTTTCTCTGAGAGGCCACTGCGTCAAATCGGAGATGACTAGGTACCTCTGGGTTTAACCCAACTTTTTGAAATGGGCGATTCCACAATTCTGGAGTTCAGGACGCCACGCACACCACACACATTTCGCGATGTTAAAACCCAGAAGGATTTAACCCGGAAGGAGTGTGTTTTTCGAGCGGGGGACCGAAAATTTTTCAAAAATCGGAGGCGACTGCGTCTGTTTGATATAGCGGAGGCCAGTTATAATAGAGTGCAAAATGTATATATATATATATACATATATATATATATATATATATATATATATATATATATATATATATATATATANTATATATATATATATGTATATATATATATATATATATGAAGAAAAATGTTTTTGCCAGTAGTATATTCACTATCCAAACCTCCCATGCGTCCTCTCAGCGTCTGCATTACATTTGTCGTGGGTGGTGGTGCATAGGTATATCCCTTTTTCTGTTTACGTGGATTTAAAGATAGAGAAAAGAATTGACACGTTTTTGCTGACACCTCAAATTTGAGGAACTCCTGATACTAAGAGACGTCTTCGCGTATATCGGCCATTTAGACGTTCATCAGATACGGTGGTATACTGTTCTCTGCCTCTCACTTTTTTTTTTGATGGATTTGGGGACAACACGGTGATCTTTGAGGCTACGAAGAGGAGGAAGTTGTGTGGTTGAGCAATGCGAAGCTGACTCAACGACAAAAAAGTGGAATTTTCGTTTCAATAACGAGGAGGCACCTATTGAAGTGGTAGTGGTGGAACTTGAAAGAGCCCTTAACAGCGGTCGTGAACACATATTACGTGTGACGGAACCCTATTCGATACGAAGGGCAGGTTTAAAGGCTTTGATTCGGGAGTTAAGACGTGATATAAGGGACAATATAGAGTAATTGTTCCCATACTACCCTTGAAAAATGAGTGTGATTGGCAAAAATTTCCAATACCCGCGCGGCTGTGCGTTCATGCTCCGTAGCTACAGTGAAATTGGACAAAGAAGGCTGAATACCGTCGCGCATGATAACGGGCCGTGCGGTAATACCGGAGAAGCGTATGAAATCGAATATTATGACGGTGACGTCATACGTGAATGGGTAGATGAGATCGAGGATCATCGGTTAGCGATCGAGAATGGTAAGGTTCAAATTTTGGAGAGAAATCCGTAAAAGTGATTCATCGTTGTACGTTTATTTTGGAGATGAATGTCCTATTGATTTGCCCTGTGTGAAACCGTGCTGGGTTTCTTTACTACGCCTAACCAAGCAACAGATTCTTGACTTCAAACTGCCAAAATTGAGGCGGTGTGCACTAAGGGAAAGGTGTGCGTCATGCGTCAAGGGTCTGGAAGAGGGGCTAGAGAGGGAGAGTACATTCTCACCACCGCCTTTGTAGAGGGTGTGGCCGGTGACACCTGAGGATGCAGCGAAGAGGAGGGGCGGCAGGCCTCGAAAAATGCCTAAGCTCTCTCCGTATCACAATAATTACCACTTATAATGTATATGATTTTATTTTTAGACTGTAATAATTTGTTCTGTGTATTTAGATATATCAACCATGGGAAATAACTATTTACATTTTTACGCGATTGTTAATCATAGACTTGATGAGAAATAAAGTTGTTAAAATTAAATGATGAGAATATTCTTATAAGAAAGAGAATGGTATCAACTCGTCTCTGCAGATGTCAGATTTTCCAGGTAAGCACATGTGGAGACGGCTAGTCTGACCTGCCAGAGCTAGTGTGGGTTACGGTGGAGAAGATGTCACAGAGTGCACGTGCAAAACTGCATGGTCAGCACATTGTTCCAGGGTGAGTAATCAACTCAACGGCTGTCTCCCCATATAATCATTGTTTTCAGTCCTCAGAGAAGCGCGGCCGTGACAAGATCTCAATTATCGTCAAACATTTGGATTATTATGTGTGTGTGTGTGTGTGTGTGTGTGTGTGATAGAGTGGATATTTTTTTTGTGACGTCTGCGCGTAATCATGCGTGTGACGGGGAAAAACTTTGTACCCCCCACTAGCAACGTCACCCCCCAGGACGAGCCGACACCATCCACCAGCGGGTATATCCCAAAACCATCGCGCCCCGCCACACCCTCCTCGGACACCTCGTCATCATGCTCGGTCACTGATGACCATGATTGGTCCACCCTGATCAGGGGGTTCAACAGGGACCCCATCACCATCGAGGCAGACCCGGACCCGTACGAGTTGCGGGACGGGTATGACGGGCTGGACCCCCGATTTTCGGACCGCCGGTGGACTCTCCGGGTAGAGCAACCTCTCATTCTCCCAGCTGAGCATCTGGAGAATGATACTCGGCGCCGGGGTCTCAGTGGACCACCCCAGCTGAGATGGCGGCAGAGGAATGGACCATTCCCCGTGCTTATCGAGTCAGCCGATTACACCCAGGATCGTCTGGTTAGCTGGTTGGAAGAGACACACCCGCAGCCACGCTGTACCCCACCGCTCACACACGTCGGAGCCATGCTACTCTGACAGCTGTGGTGGTGGGGCCATATCGACTTTAGGTGGGGGGCGCCATAGTAGTTCCCATACTACTTATAAGTCTTCTTCAGGGGCTTACTCCCGGAGGACGCCCACGTCAGATACAGCCGTACTTTTCAGAATTATCCGTCACTTGTTTAGTGTGGAGGATACCTGGAACCCCAGGATTTGTTGGACCCGTGGTGGTCGCCTGGTGGCCGAGTTGGCTCGGGTGAGTGTCTCGGTGGATTGTGACGTCTCATGATGATATCGGCAATGGCTGCCACGGCCTCAGGTGGGAGAGTCACTCCTGCTGTAGGTACGGGGGGCTGTGAGGCCCTGATGATGTCGCTGGGTAGAACGACGCATAGTCCATAGTCTCTCGGCGTGGCAGGGGTGAGGTAGGCCTGGGAGGTGCATACTCCCGGGGAGGTGCCGAGGTGGTACTCGGAGAGAATTCGCACTGGGGGTTGAGTGGTGGGAAATCGAGAAGAGAAGGTGTCCAGTGGGATGCTGGAACTTGGCGAGGTGAATCCTCGAAGAGGGGCTGATAGGCCCTGTATTCCCCTGTGATAGTCGCCGGCTGTCCTCTGTTACTTGAACGGCGAGATTCCCCGTAGCGATCGGGGGTTGACTCTCTCGGAATCCTTCGTACGGCTTCCTCGCCCACATACTGCCAGGCTTGAGAGTCTCGTGAAGCTCTGGAGTACTCGTAGTCCCCGCTGATTTTCTGGGAGTCAGGACGACGACTGTCTGTATTTTCCGTTCCTCGACTCTCTACCG